TATTTGAAACAAAGCGGGGAAAAGTTTTGTCTCTCTGGAGCACATTTTAAGAACTTTCTAAAAGTAAACAAAAAAGAAAAGATGTCGGAGCTGGGCAAAAGCAAGCGGAGAAGAAGGGAGGGACTTCCGTCTGGGCGTTTGCTTGTGTGCGAGAGCTGGCTGTTGAATGTTTGGACTGTTTATGGCTGTGAATCCGACGGGAGTTTTGTAAAACGGAAAAGTTTGAATTGTGACAGCGAGAAGTGCCTGACAAGCGCTTATATAAGTCAACAATTGCGAGGAGGACCCATAGAGAGTTTGGGAGCGGATATAAAAGCGAAAATGAAATTAATACCATTCTCAAAACTGGGGACCTCCGGTAATGGCATGAAAAGAAGAGGATTTATAGTGCATGAACTGAGAGTATTAACAACAACCCGAAGGAGAAGACAACAGAGGAAGCTCCTCCACGTCAGCGATAGTAAAAGTACCCAGCACGCAAAGAAGCGGTTCTGAATGTGCACAGAAGAGATTTTTTTTATTAACAGAAAGTCAAAGGAACATTACTAACATATTAACAGAGAACTACATGTGACAGGACTAAGAAAAGAAGTTTGACAACACACAGAAGAAGCCCAAGAAGATTAATTGGACATTACTAACAGTTTAATTTACCAGTTTATATATCTCCCAGCTTTCTCTTTCTCCCACTGTCTACCCTTCCCATTTTTTCTTTTAAGCGAAATACCTCCCCTTTTTAGGGGAGCCAATAAAATTTTTATTAAAAAAAAAAGAAGTTTGAGGATTAAGTACAACGTATATAATTGTACATATCAAAAAGTTGCTAATTTTAAACCTGCTCCAGGGCTATAATACGCTATATATAATGCTTTGTCAGTGGTATCTGCTGTATAATTTCAGAACTGAAGTTGGAATTTCAGATATCCAACTGAAGCTAGGATTTCAAATATTCTAGACACTTCAAGGTTGTAATGCTATAGTTGTACTTAATATATGTCAGTGTTCCAGATAGTGTTAGGATTAAACTAGAGGAAACACTGAAACATTATGAATGGATCTCTAGCATGTTTTCATTTCCAAATAACATTTTGCTCCCTCAATCTGAGGGAATGCTTTTTCTGTCCACGTACCACTTTCCTCCTTTCAAATGTCACCTCCCCTTTTATTTCCTGCTTAGGAAAAATCATACTGGATCTCCTATTTCATTGCACTTTTATGAACAGCAGCTGTGGTGTCCCCAGTTTGGATTGGGACCCTGGTGCTGGGAGTTGAACCCTTCCTCTCCTGTACCTTTCCCTGATGTAAATAGGCTTCCTCTGGTTGCTTTTTCCTGGTTAAACCTCCCTCCCTCCAAATGCCCCCTATCCTCAAAAAGTCATTTTCTGAAGATTTAAAAGACCTGAGCATGGATTTCCAAAGTTTTACCCACCTTGGTATTGATTTGTGAACTAAGCATTTTTACAGGTTTTTAAAGTTTTGATCATCCTCAGTGGTTTTTCATGGGTAGAATTACTAAATGTGTTACAATTTTAAAGGTAGGAGGGGAGGAAAGCAGAAACACATTTAGGAGGGTACTGACAGACTGCTAAAGAAAGATGGAATAAAGGTCTATGTATAGAAGCAGGGAGGACTTGAAGTGCAGTCCTATGCAGAGTTATACCTTTCTAAATCCACTGAAATCAATGGGGTTAAAAGATATAAATTCATTTAGGACTGCACTGTTAGGTATGTGTACATTTAACATTGAGTCATTTTATATCAACTGAAGTATGAAATCATTCTGTTATGATTGTGTTATTCCTTCTTTATCATACAAGGTTTAATGAGCAAGGCAGATACCATTGTATGTTCAAATTGAATCTATATTTGTTAGTCTCCATTCTCCTGTGGAAACAGAAAAATTCCACTTTGTTAATTCAGCGTATTTCATGCCTCAGCACCTTCTTTTTTGGGGCCAATTAACTGATCAGAGTAAGTTTCCGTTGGAGTACATTTTCTGGCTCAGGATGGGAAAGCTAAATAAATTGGCGGAGGAGCAGGGCACATTGTCTGTCAAAAAATGCTTAAATATGTATTAAAATATCTAAACAATTTTTTGATATTGTAGGCAAATATTCAGTCCCTTGAAAGAGAGAAGAAACTGCTTGAAGATAAACTTCGGAAAGTTTTGGAGGTATTACTCCCAACAGTTTCTGATACCTTTAGGTGTTAAAAAGAAATGTGAAATTATTACTAGAAATCTGTATCCAAAGAATTTGAATGGTTAGTGCAAATCATTAATGTGAATTTCATCTACACTTCCATCTTACTGCTTCTTGGCCCCCTTTTGCTTCCGGAGGATGCCAAGTCACAAGTCTGTAGTGAGAATAGATTCTACAGTTTTCAGAGTTCCGCCATGAGGCTCTAGACTTCAGACCCAGAAACCAGTGATGGCTTCAGAATCATATTATGCCAGATTTCATGATTGTTTCCCCTCCCCCTCATATTGCTCTTCAGAGCAAAATCCTATTGATGATACTTTGATAAGCAGTTTAGAGAGGATTCATGATCTTTGTCGTGGTCTCTGTGCAGTCTCACACATGGGTTGGGCGGCTGCGCACGACCTCGACTGGAGAAACTTCCAGAGCTTTGCCTCAGAAAGCTTTTGGCGGGCTCTCTTCCCACCCTGGGGAGCAGGCATGTACTGTGCATGCCTGGAGCGGGGGAGAGAGCCGCCGAGAGCCGCCTCCCACTCAGTTCTTCTTCGACCGCCTGTGTATTCACACCTCAGCTAAGTATACATTTCTCTTTTTTCTCTTTCGTTCCCTTTTGTCTTCAACTTTTCTTGTTCTTATATATTAATTTTTTTAAAATACTTCTTTTTCTCCTTCTCTCACCCCCCCTTTTATTTATAGTGAGTGGGGTAGAGAACGTATGGGCAAAACAAAGTTTTTAAAACTGTGCCGTTATTGCCCAGCTAAACCTCCCTCAAACGACGGTCACGATTTGTGCCTGTTTTGTCTCGAGGAATCTCATAGAGTCGATACCTGTATTCATTGTGCTAGTTTTACTAGACAAGCTCGATGTAATAGGGAGACTCGCCTTAGGGCTGTGCTTTTAGAGGCAGCCTTGTGCCCTGCCATGGCTTCGACTGTTTCTAAAAAATCAGAATCCTCTTCGAAGGCACCAAAGTTAAAATCTATACGGCCTGAGGGTAAGAAAGTCAAGCCCTCGACATCGGCTTCGACTTCGGCTGTCAACCCAGTCGTCATTACTGGTTTAACGACATTGACCCCTGCTGTGCCTGTTGTACCTAACAAGTCCACTTTGCGGCCTCTGACACCGCCACCTATGCTCTCTTCAGCCTCTGGCCTCATTCCGCTGGGTCAATCTACGAGATCTCTTCCTGACTTGTCTTGTCACCGGGATTCTCAATCTCTGATGCCACACTCCCGTACCCTGATCCACCATTTAGAGGGCAAAGAGCATTCTGCTGGCCATTGATCTCGATATGATCGAAAGCGTCTTATTCGTCGCCAGTCACCTTCTCCTTCCGGATCGCCTTCTGATGATGAATACTGCTCTGATGAACAAGATCGACCAGATTACTATCCGTATTATTATCCGAGGTCTCCTACTCCTCATCGACACTGGTACGATCACCTTCGTCACTTCGAATGTGATGACCATCCACGCACTTTAGATCGCGCAAGACGATCTCGGTCCGTGACTTTGGCCCATTCTGTGGCCCCTGACCAGCCTCCTGACCTCTCGAGGCCTAGGGATGCCCCTAAGTGTTCTCTCCTAGAACCTGGGCTTCATCCCCCTGTTGATGACTCGATACCGGCTGATCTCACTCAACAATGGAGATCCTCCTCTCCCATGTTGATTTCTGACACCTCGGATTCGGCAGATATCAAACTTGATGTTTCGCACAT